CCCGCTTTCCGTCCGGCTTTGCTCCTGTCTCCCTGGTCTGCTGGGGGGGTCCAGCAAAGCCGCTGGACCCCCCCAGTAGACCAGGGACACCCAAGCAAAGCCGCTGCCTGGGCGGCTTTGCTTGTTTGCCCGGGAGCAAAGCCGCCCAGGCAGCGGGACCCCCGCTGCCTGGGTGGCTTTGCTCCTGTCCCCCTGGTCTGCTGAGGGGGTCCAGCGGCTTTGCTGGACCCCCCCAGCAGACCAGGGAGACGGGGAGAAGCTTTTCTCGCCCCGGAGGACACGGGCGGCGACCCGCTGCCTGTGAGCTCCGGGGCGAGAAAAGCCCCGTTCGTAAGTGCGGATCCGACATAAGTCGGATCCGCGTAAGTCGGGGACTGCCTGTACTCAATTGCCTCCACACTCTGTCACTGGGAGAAAGGGCCAATCATCCTAATAAGCATCTGAAGGTTGCTGATGTGGCTCAGAACAAAGGATTTTATTTGCGGTGAGTAAGCACCACAAAGTGTGCTAAGCATGGTCTGAAGGTAAGGAGCAGGGACTGTCCATAAGATCTCAGAGATAAACAAGACAAAGAATAGGGGAGAGGAATAAAGCATACAGTCCAAGTCCCATCCAGACGATCAGTCAGTTAATTTCTTGTAGATGTCCTAGGAGAAATTAATCTTTAGGAAAGGCTGATGGAGAAGGTAGCGGTCTGATGGAGACTCTGAAGAAAATCTTAAATTCAAGGGTGAAAAGATACTGGACATAAAATCATAGGCATGGAAGGGACCTCAAGAGGTTTTCTGGTCCCATCCCTTGCACTCAAAGCAGGACTATGTATTAGGGATATGAATGACTCGTCGACTATCTGATAAGCAAAAGCTTAACGGAGAATTGACAGGCTAGTTGACTAGTCGCTTCCCCCCCTTGCTACCTCTATCAGAAAAAGGCAGTGAGGGGGAGGGGGAAGAAGGAGAGGGAGTGCTTTAAAGCAGCAGCGCCATGAGGAACCCAGGGTCAGATCCTGGGCTCCACGCAGCACTGCCGCTTTGGAATGCTGCATGCAGCCCAGGATTCCCCCACTGACCCTGGGCGCCCTGCAACATCTCAAAGCGGCAGCACCACATGAAGCCTTGGGTCAGCTGGGGACTCTTAATTCTCCAGCTGACCCCAGGCTCCATGCAGCACTGCCGCTTTGAAATGCTGCGGAGAGCACAGGGCAGTGGGCAACTGGCTGAGTCCCCTGATGGAAAATTGCATCAACTATTCAATTAGCCAATTAATCTAAATTTAACATCCATACTATGTATCTCTGATATTGGTCTCATAACCTCCCTAGGTAATTTATTCTAGACCTTAACCACCCTGACAGTTAAAAAGTTTTCTCCAAATGTCCTACCTTAAACCTCCTTTGCTACAATGTAAGCCCATTACTTCTTATCCTACCCTCAGAGATTAATGAGAAAAAAATTTACCTCCCTTGTCCTTGTAACAATCTTTTATATACTTATACTAATGTCCCCTCAGTCTTCTCTTTTCCAGATTAAAACACATACTTTTTTTTTCCAATCTTTCCTCACCGATCATGGTTTCTAGACCTTTAATCATTTTTGTTGCTCTTCTTTCTCCAATTTGTCCACATTTTTTCTGAAATGTGCCAAGAACTGGACACAATACTCCACTTGAGGCCTAATCTAGCACAGAGCGGAATTACTTCTTGTTCCTTGCTTACAACATTCCTGCTAATACATCCCAGAATATTTGGTTTTTTTGCAACAGTGTTACACTGCTGACTTATGTTTGTGATCCACTGTGACCCCCAGATTCCTTTCCAGGCAGTCATTTCCAATTTTGTATGTGGGCAACTGACCATTCCTTCTTAAATGGAGTACTTTGTATTTGCCCTGATTGAATTTCATCCTATTTACTTCAGACCATTTCTCCAGATCATTCTGAATTTTAATCCTATTCTCCAAAGCATTTTCAATCCCTCCCAGATCGGTGCTATCCAGAAACTTTATAAAGGTGCTGTGTTATTTTCTAAATCATTTACAGAAATATTAGAATCATAGAACACTAAAACGGAAAGGGACCTAGAGAGGTCATCGAGTCCAGTCCCCTGCCCTAGCGGCAGGACCCCGTACTGTCTAGACCATCCCTGATAGATGTCTATCTAACCTGCTCTTAAATATCTCCAGTGATGGAGATTCCACAACCTCCCAGGAAACTCATTCCAGTGTTTAGCCACCCTGACAGAAAGTTTTTTTTAAAACAGAATCAGACCTGATCCCTGAAGGACCCTGCTTGATATGCCCTTCCCTCTTAACTCTGAATTGCTGTTAGCTACTCTCTGGGAATGACTATCCAATCAGTTCTGCATCTGCCTTATAGTAGTTCTATCTAGGTTGTATTTCCCTAATTTGTTTATAAGATGGTCATGCACAACAATATCAAAAGCCTTATTAAAATAAAGATATACAACATCTACGGCTTTTTCCATATCCACAAGGCTTGTTATCCTATCAAAGCTATTATGTCGGTTTGACATGATTCATACTTGACAAATCCATGCTGTTACTCATCACTGTATTGTCAACAAATTGATTGTTTAATGATCTTTCCAGTACTGAAGTTAAACTGATTGGTCTGTAATTCCTGGAGTTGTCTGCATGGAGATCAAGAAAATCCAGAGTAATCATAATGCAAATTTCGGAAGGGATATTAAACCCCATGTTTTAGGATTTTAGCCTAGTGTGTGCATCAGAGAGAAAGGCAGGGATTCTCTCACATGTTTGTGCGGGTCTTACCTCTTCCTCTGAAGTATCTGGCACTGGCCACTGTCCCAGACAGAATACTGGACCTAGGGCAGAGGTAGTCAAATAGGCACACAACAGACCAAATCTGGATCATGAGATGCTTTTTAACAGACCATAAAATCTGTATTTACTTATCATCGCGGTCTGAAAAATGTTTTTCTGAAACCTGGGCCATTGCTATAAATTGATGAAGAAATCTGGACTTTGACAAAAAAAAGTAATTTACTACCCCCTGAATAGGTTCTATCCTACTTTCCTATGCAATTCTTATGTTCCTATTCCATCCCTCGGTTTCTATGCAATTTTTATGTTCTTATTCTCCCCCTAAAAGCCAGATTTATC